TTTTTTTTTTTTTTTAAATCAAGACAGGGTTTCTCTGTCTGGTTTTGGTGCCTGTCCAGAATCTTGCTCTATAGACCAGGCTGGCCTCAAACTCACAGAAGTCCACCTGCCTTTGCCTCCCTAGTGCTGGCATTAAAGGTGTGAGCCACCAACACTGATTCTAAGATTTATTTTCAATTATATGTATTCAGGGGAGGGTGGTTTGTGCACATGAGTGCAAATGTCCTTGGAGCCAAAAGAGGGCATCTGATTCTCCTGAAGCTGGAGTGAGAGGTGACTGTCAGCCTCCTGACACCAAACCCAGGTCCTCTGCCAGAGTAGTGTGTGCTCCTGCCCCTGGGCCATCTCACCAACCCTTGCTCTGGTTCTTTATTTCGTTTGTCTTTTCTTTCCTTTGGGGGCATTAGGGCTCTTACTGTGTAGCTCTGGCTAGCCTGGAACTCACAGAGGTCCAGCTGCCTTGCCTCCCAAATACTGGGATTAAAAGTATAAAGTACCACTTAGCCAGGGATTATTAAAGGTCATTAATTGAATTTTTGAAAGACTGTAAGCCCTAGAAGGTGGGGAGGTTCATGATTGTATCCCAGATACCTGGAACAAATGCAGCCATGTCAGAACATGATTGGAGCTGACTTACATATATGAAAGTGGGGTTGTCCTTGTATTAAATGGACTTCCAAAAACAAAATTGGGATGTTCTTGGTGGTTTGAGATTTCCTAAGATCTTTGTCAGGGTTGGCAATAACACAAAATCTTGGCCACTGTTTTGTGGCCATGGCATGGTTGCTTTTGCTTGGCAGTGATGTAGATGGAACCCCTGTAGCAGCAGGTCTCAAACTGTAGGTCATGACTCCCATGGGGGTCACATACTGGATATTGATATTACGATTCATAACAGTAGCAAAATTACAGTTATGAAGTAGCAACAACATTAATGTTCTAGTTGGGGCTCACGACACCAGCATGAACTGTTTTACAGGGCCGCAGCATAGGGAGGTTGAGAACCACTGGTTAGAGCCTTCTGTGTTGGGCCAGTGCTTGGTCCCTGACCCCGTGTGTTATTCCCTAGGACCACCTTACACCCACCCGAGGAGGCCACAGAGGATGGTGTACTACGGGAAGACGAATTGTCATAATGACTATGAGAATTACATCGAAATAATAAAATACGTGTTCCGAGATTACAAGAGAGAGTCCCCACTTATCATCAACACAATGGGCTGGGTGAAAGGTGAGCCATGCACATGTGTCGCAGTGTAAGCAGCTACCGTGAGGCTGTGCAGGTGCACACTTATGGGGTGCCCTGTGATGTTTCCATACATGTGGCTGAGGACGGCCTTGAACTTGGAACCCTCCTCCCACGTCCACCCCAGTATAAAGGTTATAGGTATTTGTCGTTACTGTTCCTTTTATGTGGTGCTGGGCTTAAACCCAGGGCTTCCTGCATACCGAGGGAACGCTCTTCCAAGTGAGCCACAGCTCCATTTCTGAGCTTTTCAAGCTTTTAAGTGACCTCACCTCGCCACCTTTT